TGCAGTGTCTTTCAGGGACGGAGGGCGGGGGAAGCTAGTGGAAGATAAGGGTCGTTTCCGCAGGATTCTTTGTACAGCTCCAGTGCAGCACCGATTCCCTGTCTCTGCAGGGAAGGCATCCTTCTCAGGAACCCTTACGGCCTGCTGCCTATAGGAAAGGCTGGTCAGACAGCTCTTTCTGTAAATGCAATTTCTCAACTGCCTTCACTTGAAATAATCAGTGTAACAATTTGGCAGCTTTTGGTTTCATATATCCTTAACGTCTTCACCCCAATTTCCACTGCCCCTCCAACTCCCCAGTCGTCTAGAAATCATGCTTTGTTTATGCTGACAGACATAGGTATCAATTACAAGCTTGGATATAGTCCAAAGCTGCTAACAAACAGAAAGAACCCAAAAACCGTACACTCATAAGATTTCTTCTCATAACATTAATGACTACAAAGGGAAAAATTACAACTTTTCAGTGGAAAACCTGACAGACATCTTAACCAAGACAACGAAGTTAAAATTACCAATTAGCGTAAGTTAGTATCACAAGCCCCTAGAATGATACTATAATGAACTGGGAAGGATATTTCTTCTCTGGTGGTCTTACCAAATAAACACAGCATAAATCTAATGAGGGCACTGGATAAACCCAGCAGAGGGCCAGACTAGAACATAACTAACCTGTCCACCTTTTTCAGATCTCTTCATGAGAAAACAGGTTTGATAATGTGATGGCAAATGAAACAGTAGCCCCAAACTACCCAAAAAGGACACTATAAATAACTGAATTACTCTGAACACTGTTAAGTATCATCTATCAGGCATCCTTGCCAGCCCAGTTCTTATGCAGGACCTTTGGCTGAATCTAAGACCAAATTAACACAAGAGATTAACAAGAGAAAAGAATAAAGTTCATTGATTTTATACATATAAAAACACCCTCTCAAGAGTATAAAGATCTGGGCTTTTTCGGGTACCAGGGATTGCGCTTGGAAGGCAGGCAGAGGAACCACTGAGCTAAATCCCCGGCCCAAGAGTATAAAGATCTGAAGGAACAAAACAAGATGCTTTTATACCTTTTTTTTCCTTCTCTAAGTGATTTTATTTATTTATTTATCTACTGTTGGTTTTGGTTGGTACTTTCTTTTTTTAAAAATTTTATTTTATTGGTACAGTCCCATCTGACCCCATTTGACCCAGCTATTCCCCTGCTGGGGATCTTCCCCAAAGAATTAAAACAATCATACCACAGTGATATATGTGCACCCATGTTCATAGCAGCACAATTTGTAATAGCTAAAATTTGGAAAAAGCCCAAGTGCCCATCAACTGGAGACTGGATAAAGAAGATGTGGTTTTTTAATAAAATGGAGTACTATTCAGCCATAAAGAATAAGAAACTAGAGACATTTATAGCTAAATGGATGCATATTGAGGCAATACTCTTTTTTTTTTTTTGAGGCAATACTCTTAAGTGAAATAAACAGAACACACATGAGTAAATACTGAATAGTTCCTCTAGAGTGAGAAACTGAAAGTGTAAATAACGACTTTTGTACTTATTAGACAAGGAACAGTAATTCTGTGAAGGAATGACAGGACAAAAGGACTCTGGACTAAGGGTAGTAAGTTCCAAGAAAGTCACTAGGAGGTATTGAGGGTTCCTCCAGAGAGCTTATTTATCCAGGTGCATCGCAGCTCCCCTCTCTACAAGGATGAAAGCTACTTTCTCCCTCAGGCACAGGAAAGATCCCAACAGGGGCTTCATCACTTGTCAGATGTAGGAAAAGACAGGCTCAACGACCCTTTCTGCAGCTAGTTTTCCAGGTGGTTTCAGCTTGAAATAGTCAATATATAAAATTGGTGTATTTTCAGATGGTGTTCTTAAACCTTTACATGTCAACTGCATTGTAAAACTGAAAGGTTTTTTTTGTTTGTTTTTTAGGGTGCTTCAAAAATGATACATTAGAAACCCAGGAAAATGCATTGTTTTTCTAGATTCAGAGCAAGTTGGTTGAAAATAAAACAACTTGGCCAAAGAAAATCTGTTGGCAACTTAACAGATGATTGTTAATTCACTGTCTATTTCTCCTGAAGTACACACATTTTAATTTGCTGTGCATTTCCCTACTCAGGACAGGAACCAATCCTCCTGGTCTGGTGTAGGGAGCAGAATGAGAAGGCAAGCAGGAGAGGGAGGGGCTGGCGGTTTTGTTGATGGGACATGTTCACACTCAACAGTGGCTCAAAAGGTGCTATGACCTTAGGATGGTCATGAGGTATACGCTCTGGGCTCATTCTGTCTAAAATTTGCTATGTTCACTGCCTCCAGGGTGATCAGGGATTATTTTCAACTCACTCGAGGTAGAGGTGGGTCAAAATGTTCTGTGGAATTGTCTGTATTGATATACACAATGTACGTCCATCATGGCTCTGGCTGGCCTGGGCAGCCTCTTTCTCAAGAAAGCGTCTCTTAAGGGAACCAAGCAATCTGAGACTCTCTCCCCATGCCATTTCCTTACATCACACCCACAGGTAAATCACTACCCCACTGTTGTTTACATAGTGAGAGGTCTCCAAAGTTTGCAACTAATGAACCATGACACGATCATTTCTTGAATCTGAGCACAATACGTTAGCCATTTTTCACCGTAAGAATGAACACATTCAGAACAGCGCCTTAATTTGTATGTCTTGCTGCCGGGCAGCTTGGAACCACCAGTGATACATGCATGACTGTCCCATCAGGCAGCACTGGACAGCCATCAGGTGGCACAAGCTGCCCAAAAGCAGTCATGCAGTACACCTGGTGGTTCGAGCTGGCGGGAACATGTCAATGCTATGTGGCCTCCAAAGCTAGTGTATAAGATTTGCAACTTCTTTCCTCTCCTGGAACGTTCGCCTATGGGATGCTCCCTCAGAACCAGCCACCCTCCTGTGAGAGGCCCAACCCACGCAGAGTAGCCCAGCTAAGCTCTCAGCCCACACCATCATCAGCTGCCAGCTGTGGTGAAAATCCTGCCCAGCTGAGCCTCTAGCAGAGTAAAATTCTAGTGATTTCACATATATTTCAAAGCTCAGTACTGCTTTACCTCTTAATTTTTTTCTCACCTGTAGGTATTACATCACACCTGTGGTTCTAATTTTTAAACTACTAATGAAGTTGTCATCTTTTCACGTTCTGGGAAATTGGTATTTCCTCATCTGTAAAATAAACAGTGTGGAAATGATCAAAGTATGTTATATGTATGTACAAATATGGCTTAGTGAAACACATTTTGTATACTATGTACTAACAAACAAAGTCATATATCCTGACTTTTTCCTATTCATTTGTAAAGATCCTTTAAAATCTCCAGATTATATAATAGTCTGCTGGGCATATTGTGGAAAGATGCATTAGTGTCATAATTTTTCATTTCCTTTTTTGTATATTTTAATAATCAGTTCTTTAATGTGAGGAAATACATCAAAAACTTAATATGGCTTGGTTGTATTAAGAAATCCTTCTCTGCCTTGAGGTCGTCAAGTTATTCCTTCACATTCTTCTAAGACTTATAGTTTTGGGGGTGGGGATTTAACTCAGTGGCACCGCACCTACCTTGCAAGTGTGAGGTCCTGAGTTCAATCCCCGGTATGGAGGGTGGGGTGGGGGGGAGAGTTATAGTTTTGCCTTTCACACAATTAAAGGATAAAAATCCAAAATTTTTTATGTGTACCACTTTTGTGTTTCAGAGTACTACCAAATCATTCATTCTTTTCCATATTCCTTTCAATCTTCCTCCATGGTTATGTCTTCCGTCATAGAGGCTTTTTACATTTTACTTTTCCTTAGGTTTTTAGTAAAAAAAAAGTTGTGGCAGTCATCATGATATTATTAGCTTTGTTTAGATGCTCTGGGATTACATTCACTAAATTTTGTTTAGGATGTTCACATCTCTTGCTCATGGACAATAGCAACCAGAAATTTTTCTTCTAGTATGTCCCTTATCTGATTTTAGTACTGGGTGATTTTAGGCTCATTCTTCTCTGGAAGATTCTGTGTAAGACATGAATAAACTATTACTTGAAATTTTGGTAGATCCTCCTTTAAAAACTGGGCACAGGCCAGGGATTTAGCTCAGTGGTGCCTGCCTCGCAAGCACAAGGTCCCGAGTTTGATCCCTGGTACCAAAAAATAAAAATTAAAAAATAAAAACTGGGCCTATTTTCTTTGTGGGACTTTAATCCAGATTGAATTCCTTTGATAATTTTGAGGCTACTCATACTTGGGAAAGTTATTTTCCTAGGAATTGCCAGGAAATGAGAGAATTTAAAAGAACAGTTGTAAAAAAAGGGGGGGGGTGCTTTACAGATAATTAAATGCCCAGAAAAGTACACTCATCTCAAGTATGAAATAATGAGACCCATTATTCCCTAGAGGTAAGATGAATATAATTATTTTTGTTCTGCTTATTCTCCACTCCTACTATGAGCTTTTCTAATTCTTTTTTTTTTTTTTCTTTTCTAATTCTTTTTAAGCTCGCTGGCAAGATGAAAGAAACTAGCATTTTATAATATGTTTGAGCTCTCAAGTGTTTGCTTATTACAAATTTGGCAAAACTAGATATGAAGTTCTGTAAAACTCAACAATTTTATTTAAGTTGTGATATAACTTTTCTGGCTTGCTACTACTGTGGCTCACATTTTACAAATGCTGAATCATTAGAGGATATTAGTTCATTTTTTTAGAGGAAAAAGGATCTGAACATAAAGCCTGAATTCTACCCAGTGGCCTTCAGAGTGCAGGAAGGAAGCGAGTTTCATCTGACAGTGCCAAAGAGAAGTGCAGGCATGAGTCACCTGGTTAACTCCACCTCCTGGGAGGACAGCCTGGGCTCCACGTGTTCCTGGTTGTCTCAGTGACTGGTGACCAGAGAGCTCAAGGAAGCAAGCATGGTATGGAAGCTGACTGTTTTGCTCCCTGTGAGATAATTTCTAATTCCTACAACATTTATCAGTAAATTAAATAGCAAAAGTAATAATAACCTTTACTTTTCAATTTAGTATGGCAAAAGTAATCACTTTCTGAGAACAGATTAAATACTATATACTTTGTGACATAAGTTGACTTTAGATTTGAATCAGAAGTGGTAACAAGTAGGAAGAAAATGCAAAGGACAGTACACCTGCATATTTCAGAATGATTTCTTCTCAAATGAATGGCTTTGAGAGTGAAGAAGTAACCTAAAAGTTTTAATAACAGCCAAGTACATAATTTGTATTCAGAATATTAAAAAAAATGTTAGTGACAGTGAGGTAGACAGTTACCTGTGTACATTTCTTTTTTCCAAATACTCTTTCTAGTCTAACTGGATTGTCTAAGATCTAGATGCAGTTTCAAAAAATAAATTCCTAAACTTAACTTATGGCTGCACTTTTTACCTAAATACAGTTTCCAATGATGCTTGTGAAAGCTGGCAGTTATTAAACACCATTAGAAAGTAAAATACTAGTCTTCCAGTCTCAGACAGTCACAGTTTTAGAGCCAATAACAACTTATGAACAGATGAAAAACATTTTATGGATGCTTTCTTAACATTCCCAAGGTTATCCTGCATGAAGTGTCTGTTTGATGAGGTCTAACTTATAAAGTTTTACCCACAATTACCTACCTACTCATCACTTTCTCCTCAGGATGAATTCTGTGCTATTCAATATGGAATGGATCTCACCTGGAAGATTTCTCACATGCATTTTACTCATACGGTTTTTCTCAATTATGAGTCCTCTGATGATTAGTAAGAGATGAGCTCTGACTAAAAGCTTTCCCACATTCTTTGCATTTATAAGGCTTTTCTCCAGTGTGAATTCTCATATGTGTCATCAGGGATGAGCTCTGTCTGAAGGCTTTCCCACACACTTTACAGCTGAATGGTTTCTCTCCAGTGTGGATTCTCTGGTGCTGAATTAGGGCTGAGCTTTGGTTGAAGGCTTTTTCACAGTCATTACATTTATAAGGTTTCTCTCCAGTATGAATTTTTCGATGAGTATTCACTGCTGAGTGGGAACTGAAAGCTTTCCCACATTCCTTGCAATGATACGGTTTCTCTCCAGTGTGAATTCTGTGGTGGATGTTAAGCCGTGAGATCCAGGAGAAGGCCTTCCCACATTCATCACACTTGTAGGGCTTTTCTCCAGTGTGAATTCTCTGATGCTGGATAAGTGCTGAGCTTTGGCTAAAGGCTTTCCCACATTCTTTACATGCATATGGTTTCTCACCAGTGTGAATTCTCTGATGTATAATAAGGGCCGAGTGGTAACTGAACACTTTCCCACAGTCATTGCAGTGAAAAGGTTTCTCTCCAGTGTGAATGCGATGGTGTCTACTCAGCCTTGATATTGAAGTGAAGGCTTTTCCACAATGACTACACTCATACGGCTTCTCTCCAGTATGAATTCTATGATGCTGGATGAGAGATGAGCACTGACTAAAGGCTCTCCCACATTCATTACATTTATAGGGCTTTTCTCCAGTATGAATTCGCTGGTGATTGTTAAGGGATGAGCTACCTTTAAATGTTTTGCCACATTCCTTACATTTATAGGGTCTCTCTCCAGTGTGCATTCTCTGGTGCCCAATAAGAGAGGTGGTAAAACTGAAGGCTTTCCCACACTCATGGCATATGTAAGGCTTCTCTCCTGTGTGAACTCTCAGGTGCTGTGTCAGGGACGAACTTTGGCTGAAGGCCTTCCTACATTCCTTGCATTTGTAGAGCTTCTCTCCAGTATGGATCCTCTGATGCTTACTCAGGGAAGAACTGTGGAGGAAGATTTTCCCACAGATATTACATTTATAACATTTACGCACTGTGTTGACTCCCAGTTGTTTAAACAGAATTGAATACTGCTGTGAACGAGGTTTCCTTCCTTTGGAAACAAGTCCAGGTTTTCTAGTAAGTGACGATGGTTTTGGACCAAGACTTTTCCCAAGTTCAATACCTTTGAAGTTCTTTTCTTTTATGTATGTGTTTTTGATGGTAACTAATACTTTCCTGAGAAGTTTATTCTTTCTACCTTGTTGCTTCTCCAACTTGTCCTCATCTATGTAGGTTTTGCCCAAACTGAAGTCCAAAGGATGATCCACTAGGAATTTTTTCATGGCTTCTTGATTTTCTTCTTTGGAAATGGTGGCTTCAAACAAGCTCTCCCATCCTAAAGTAAATAAAACATGTAAGCCTCCTTGCATTGGGAAAAAAAGAAAATGACATCACAATACTTAAGTACAGCTAACAAATGTAGCCTTGACATCTTGGTGAAGGATGGAGACAGGAGCCCAAAAGAAAGAAGCATAATGATAGACATGTATGAGTGGGAACGGTCCAGAGAAACCTACATGTAGAGGGGCTGAGGAACTCAAAGGGAAACTCTTCCAAGGGGAGGAGAAGGTAACCAGTAGCAAGACACTTCTAGTAGAGCTTGTATTATTACTTTGCTTCACTCTCTAGGTCTATCGCCAGTGTATACAGGTATATCATAATGGAAATCTGCAGAAGGGCCAAAAATAAGTTGTCCCCAAAGAGCTCTGTCCAACACAGGGTTTCAGTACTGTTACTGTGGGATTCAACAGAGTGCTACAAATCATGTGGTGGGCATTCACTCCATTAATACTTACCAAGGGCCCACCTACAGAAAGAAAGGTCAAAGCTCTGAGAATAACAAGCAACAGGCTAGAAAAGGGCTGACTCTTATAGGCTTAGATTCTTTTTTTTTGGTACCGGGGATCAAACTCAGGACCTTGCGCTTTCAAGGCAGGCAGTAGAACCACTGAACTAAATCTCCAGCCCTTAATGTTTTTTTTTTGGGGGGGGTTTCCAGGGATTGAACTTGGGACCTTGCATTTTTGAGGCAGGCAGTGGAACCACTGAGTTAAATCCCTGGCCCCCAAGGGTTACATTCTAATAGCCAGATACTGATAATGACTGAGCAACCAAATCAACACAGAAGTACTAGGGATTGAGGAGAACTGCGAGGAACCAAACAAAAACAAGGCAATGTGTAACAGGAGTGAATGAGCTGATACTTTACAAGGGGTGATAAGGAAATGACATTTAAAGATAAAATCTAACTAGCAAGAGCAGGACAGGCAAAAATGTGGATATAAAGATGATTCCAGTTAGAAAGGACAAAGGCCCTCAGGCAGGAATAGGCTGAGGGAACAAGAGGAGTGCTGCTAATGGGGAAAGAGGCAGGCAGGGACCCTATCAGGGAGTCTTGTAGGATTCAGGAAAGCATTTGGAATTTCTTGGGAGTTAGCAGGAACACAGTATATGGTTTTTGTTTTAAAAGGTCCATTTTCATTGTGTGATAAATGGGAAAGAAAGGACAGGTACAGAGCAGCCATTTAGGAGGCTGGTGCAGGTGCCCTAGTTGGAAGCTGGCACTGGCGTGCGGTGGTAGAGAAGCAAAGAGGTGGGCACATTTGGGATGTTTTCGACACAGTGGCTTTTTAACCATAAAACACAGTCATTTACTCTTTGGACATTTTACTCTTGATATTACACCTCTGTATTCCCATAGCTATCTCAACAATGTTTTAAAAAGAGCAAAACTGGAAACTAAAATTTCTGAAAGAAGACTGTGTAACAATCCAATGAGCTGGCAGATTCCTTCCCTGTGAAGAGACTGTGCAGAGGAAATGGAACAGATGATTCCAGGGTAAGCCTCAGCTTAAGGCTTGGGTCACTTAATCAAGATTCAGATACTAGAAACACTAGAAGAGTACATGCTTGAAAAGAATTGTTTTGCCCACCTTTTCGATTATGCAGGATAGACCACACAAAATGACTCATTGATTCAAAAGAAATAAATGTATTTTATTAAGACACGTACTTTCTTGACTAAAAAGAAATATATAACCATTTTTTAAAAATTAACCCAGAAAACTGTATGTGACAGGTAAGCTGGACCATCCCCTTGACTGGGTTGAGATTAGTAAAGAACTCTTCTGGGTGCATCCGAGTGGGTCACGAGGGTGTGACCTTGGGCACTGGGTCCGATTCCTGCTCCCTCCTCTCTGGCACTGTCCCCTGATGCTCTGCTTCCTCGCTACCCAGACTGAAACCATGAGCTACAGTAAACCTCTCTGCCCTTCAGTTGTGGGTGTGGGGTATTTTGTCATGCAGCAGGAAAGACAACTAGTATACTATAAAAATGAAAACACAGTTCACTCGTAGGCACATCATGAAAAATACAACCATTGTTTTATGTAGGACTTCACTTTGTATATAAAAAATCACTTTCACTTAAAAAATAAAAATGGCCTGAAACTTCCTCCACTTTCCCCCTCCTCACCATGTCAATAAATGTAGGACAATACCAGCATTTTAATGGCTACATATGCCTGAAATATGAACATATCATTTAATAAATTCCTTTCTGAGAGTCATTGAGCTTCTTTTTGGACCTGTTATCCCTACAGTCCTAACTAACATTCTTTTGCAAAGTCTTTGCAACTTGGTAGAATTATGGATTTTACTATAAAAAAAGATGGAATCAATTTTAATATCAGAAAATCTAGTGTCACATAATCATTTGTGTGGTTGTTCTACTGTATCATTCTATGGACACGTTATCATTGTGTTTTGGGTGCTACTGTTTGCTTTTTTGCTTGTTTAATTTTGAGACAGGTTCTTGCTAAATTGCCCAGGTTGCCCTCAAATCCTCTCTCCTCAGGCTCCCAAGTATGCAGCTAGGATTACAGGTGTGTGCCACTGATTTTAATAAAGCCAGATCTCTGGAAAGACTGTGCCACTCAAAACCCCACTAAAGATGCAGCTTACTACTTGGCGCATTCGCAAAATACTGGATATGTATATCTTAATGTTTGGTAATTTTTAAAAATAACTTTATAATCAAACACACATTAAAATCATTCAAAAAAGAACAATGCAAGGGAAAAAACTACAATAATATTCAAATACAGTAGAACTCAACTAAAACAAAACTGAAAAGCACTTAAAATTTCATCCGTGTGTATCCTTAGTTACACTTTCAGTTCCTCACACAAGAGAAACTATTCGATATTTACACGTGTGTCCTATTTATTTCACTTAAGAGGATGGCCTCATTATGCATCCATTTAGCTATAAATGTCTCTAGTTTCTCATTCTTTATGGCTGAGTAGTATTCCATTTTATTAAAAAACCACATCTTTATCCAGCTTCCAGTTAATGGGCACTTGGGCTGTTTCCAAGCTTTAGCTATTACAAACTGTGCCGCTATAAACATGGGTGCACATATATCACTGTGGTATGATTCTTTTAATTCTCTGGGGAAGATCCCCAGCAGGGGAATAGCGGGGTCAAATGGGACCTCCAGTCCTAATTCTTAGAGGTATCTCCATACTGATTTCCACAGTGGTTGCACCAGTCTGCACTCCCACCAACAATGGAGCAGGGTTCCTTTCTCTCCACACCCCCACCAGCACTGGTTATTGGTTGATTTCTTGATAGCAGCCATTCTTTCTGGGGTGAGGTGGAATCTCAGCGTTGTTTTCATCTACATCTCTCAAATGACCAGTGATATTGAACATTTTTTCATATATTTGTTTGCTGCTTTTACTTCCTTGTCTGAGAAATGTCTGTTCATTTCAGATGCCCATTTTTGAACTGGGTCTTTGAATTTGGAGGGTCTGATTTTTTTCAGTTCTTTATATATTCTAGATAGTAATCCTTTGTCTGAGGTACAGTTGCTGAAAATTTTTTCAATGTTTGGTAATTTCATAAAGGGAAACAGTATTTCATTACTGTAGTTTTAATTTCATTGATTATCGTGACGTTAAATATTTTTCAAAATATTCTTTGAAGATTTTGGGTTCACGATCTTTAAATTTTCAATCATAATACTCATACCTTTATGTTACAATATTTATTCTTTACTCTTTTAACTACTTTATACCTCTTTACATCATACCTGTGTATTCCCACAGCTATCTCAGCAATATTAAAAACAGGAAAAACAGGAAACTAAAATTTCCAAAAGGAAGATTGTATATTAAAATAAGGCTTAACAATAAAATAGAGTGGTTTTGAAGAGGTAAGCCTGCATTTACTTAAAGTTGAATAAATGAAGGACATTCACAATTTAAAACAGTCTTGAGAATACATAGAATCAATCTTTGTCTTTCTGTCTCCCAATCACAAACACTCAGACTCAGTCTGAATGGAGAACAGTAAAATACTAACAGTGGTTGTTACTACATTACAGATGAGTCTCCTCTTTTTGTTCCCTTCAATCTTAATCTTCACTCTCTGTTCTTTTAAAAATACCAATTATAGGGCCAGGGATTTAGCTCGGTGGCACCATGACTGTCTCACAAGCGCAAGGTTCTGAGTTTGATCCCCAGTACAATAGAATAGAATACAATACAATACAATACAATACAATACAATACTATACAATACTAAGTATAGGGCCGGGGATGTAGCTCAGCAGCACAGTGCCTGCCTGGCAAGGGCAAGACCAAATTCAATTCCTGCTACAAAAAAAAAAAAAAATCCCCAAGTATAACTTGTACAAACTAAAAGTAATTTGGTAAGAGGCTCAAAAAACAAGTCAATTTTGTATTAATGATTTCTTTACCAACCAGAAAGTTCAGAGCCTGACCTGCAACTCATCCATAGCCACCATTCTGGTCCTGACGATATATTTATTTTCTAAATTTCCACCTGGAATTTCTATTGCATTATACAATTATTCCTGCAACCCGATTCCCCCAATTGTTGGAAACAAAAGATTCCTAAAAGAAAGGACTTGAATTGCAAAGGAAAGGGCCCAGTGAGTGCCAACTAATTAAAGAAAAAAATCCCTCATAAAATGTAACGAATTTTCTGAATTCCAAAGGCAAAGAAGATACCCTCTAAGATTTCAGACAAGACAGAAAAGAAAAAAAGAGGTGACCTGGGCCCAGGGGGTAGCTCAGTGGTTCCGGTGCCTACCTCACAAACACAAGGTCCCAAGTTCAATGCCTGGTACCAAAAAAACAAAGTGGTGACCTGTACTGTAGAGAGGAGAAATAACCAGGGCCCAAACACCATGGAGCAGTCTGGACACCCTGATGAGGAAAACACTGATGCTGATTCTAGATCCAAAGACAATTCTCAAAGGAGAGGAAAAAAGAAACTGATTTTAGACTCATACAAATATCACACATACAAACTTCTCCGAAAAAAGAATTCATGAACATGTTCTGATCAAACCCCAGGGGAAACATCTGAAGACTGAGTTCATAAATGGAGACCTAAGACTGAACTGAAAGAAAGATTATCTCCTGCCAGAGAGAGAAATAATTTCTGCATAAGCCAGCCAGCCTCTGGTACCAAAAGCAAAGGACAAAAATCAAAGCAGAACATTTAGACATTATACACTGCATTACACGTTCTGCAAATTACAAGATTCATTTGACAAAAGTGCGATCCGTACTGGGAGAATTCATCTCTCCCTCTGAACCTGATGACTTTGCCACTCCCAGCACTTCCTTCCAGGTCTGGCACTTCACTGGCACATCAGGGAGGCCCTGATGAGTGTCTCCACCCCCTGAGGAGTGTCTTTGCCCCCTGATGAGCGGCTCCTCCCGTTTCCCCAGCACTCACCTAGACACATGCCTGGTGGCGTTCCAGTTCCTTCCATCTGGGGATCTCCCGTTTGCTCCAACTGGGAGATGACCTTTGGCTTGGCAAACAGAATCCCTGTGATGAATGAGAAGAAGACATGACGGGGCATCCTGGCAGAAATCCCCCCCTGAAGTCCCTGGGACAGGGAGGGACACTGGGGAAGGAAGAGGTCTGGTCATGGAAGGGTTTAAAGCTGAGCTCCTAAAAATGGCCAGGAGCTGATCTCAGGGTGGTTCTGTGCTTCCTCAGCTGGAACATTTTAGGGCTCCCAGGGAGACAAAGCTGGGCAGGGGGGCTGGGGAAAGCATAAAAAAGAGAAGGTGCTCTTTGTCACCCCAGTGAAACCCACACCTGTCTGCACAGCTGAGGGGAACAGCAAGCAGCTGCCACTCTGAGCCCCTCTGTGGCCAGACTGACCAAGCCCTTCAAACCTCCCACCTCACAGGGCCCACGATGCTCCCACGGCAGATCCACGTCCCGGGAGAGGCCTTACCCGCAGAGACCAGGTTGCTGTAGTTCTCCAGCATGACCTCCCGGTACAGGCTCCTCTGACCCGGGTCCAGCTGCAGCCACTCGTCCTGGCTGAAAAGCACTGCCACATCCCTGAAGGTCACTGACCTCTGAAACAGCAAAGCCATTCCTGCTCAACCAAGAGCACCCCCAAAGTGGGACAATCAAAAGCAAACCCTGCTACAACTCAGGGCTCTGAGTGTTTCAAGTTCAGTGAGGTTTTTTGGACAATGGCTGTTACTGAACACATTTCTCATGTGCCTGTGAGGGACACACTGTGCCCTCAGAGCTTAAACACAGCAGCCGAATGCCTGAGATCCAGGAATAAAATCAGAACGAGAGGAGCACAAAACTTCAGACCTGGAAATCTAGTCATCTACCCCAGTGCTCACAGGTGACTAAAACCGAGTCAGGCTTTAGAAGGTGACTCGCTCCCTCACTCAGCACTAGGTGGGAGAGCATGTGGCATGCGGAGGGGAGGTCAGATGCTCCCCTTCCATCACCGCCTTTGGCCATGTGCGTGCTGGGGGAGGACAATGACTCAAGCGCAGGAGAGCTTGGGACGGCCCGCTGGTGGGCGGCACAGCCTCTGAAGGAGAGCCACGGACAGGGGTGTGGTGAGGGATCCCCTCGCCACCCCGGAAGCTTTTGCTCCTCTCTGTCCTGCCTCTCACTGCTGCACAAGTCACTGCTCTGAACCAGCAGTCCCTTTTGCTTATTAAGAATCACTACACTTTTATTCGGACACATTAATCATACATAATCATGATATTCACTGTGGTATTTCCACACATGCATACAGCATGGATTGACCATTTTAAAAAAGCAAACTAGAAAAGATCAGTGAGCAAGAGAACAAAAAATGTTAATCCAACTTTCTGCCACCAGAAAATGCTGTAACTTTTTACTATATGCCTTTTTACATGCAAATATGGTTCAATGTTCAACCAAAAATAAAATTACATTATATACTCTAACTCAACATTTTTTATCACTGTAGAGATGAACTAGTTTGTTTAATCTACAGGTGGACGTTTATGTTGTTTCCACTACAAATGCTGGGTTTAACATCCCTGTACATCATCATGAAAGCATACCGAGATTATTTCCTTAGTATATATGTCTAGATTCGGATCACAGTTTGCTTTCTCTTTACCAACCCCAATAAACCCAGGCAGGAGATCATAAGGTCAGGGTCTTCACGAATGTGTAAGGGCAAAGCAAGTTAAGAGTAAGTGGCCTGGGGATGGGCTGTAGCTCAGTGGGAGAATACCTGCCTAGCATGTATAGGCCCTGGGTTTGATTTTTTTAAAAAAAGGGGTTCAATTCTCCCTATTGGGAACAAAGGAAGTGGCATTTCCCTCTACACCTTTCCTTTCAGAATTTCTGGCTTTTTCCTTTTCAGATGTATGTCAATCTTTTTAATGACTTAGTCACTTGCCAATCTCACAACCCAAGGAAGTTTTCTCACGGAAGTGGTAACCATCTCTTTGACTGTAATCATCAAGACAGAATAAACAGATTCCTAACAAAAGAAAGTCCTGCCAACCAGAAGCACCAACTGAGCATTAACTGTATGATCAGGAACTTTGTATGGGGTCCAAATAACTCAAACTTTAACCAAAATTTTTTGATCTCTATTTCTCCATTCACCTTATAAAAGCTTTCTTCTCTTGCTCTTTTGGGTGAAACCCACAACCACCTCTAGCCTGATACCTGCTCAAATAAACTCTACAATTTCAATATGCCGAAGTTTGTCCCATTTTCCTGCAAAGAGATGAGCCTAACTTGTCACCTGACTCCCAACTGCACAACTTCCTTGATATACTGGGTTGTATGCACTTAGCCCTTTAAGGTAGGAAAGTGAAGTGCACCACAATCTGGCTTTTTATTCAACAATAAAATGATCTTCTTTCTCTTCTACCTTTGTGGAGAGGTCTTCTGGGTTGGGAGAGTGTTCTTAATTATATTTCCTCCCAAAACCATGATGATACAGAGTAAGTGCCAAGAATGGGCAGAGCAAAGCAACCCTTGGGAAGAGGGCACTTCCCACGTTAGGGAAACTGGGCCCTACACCACTGGCCAGACTTCCGTTTGTTCTGGACACCCTCCATTCACCATCTACACCAGCCTGGTCCTGCACACTGGTGAGGAGTCTGCCTGACAGCTCCTGCTGACAAAGAGGTTTCTTTCTTCAATCTTTCTGGAAAATCACCTGGATTTTTACTATGCAGTCATTTCTTGGTATCTGTGGGTGATTGGTTCCAAGACTCCCTGCAGATACCAAAAGCAAAGTATGTGTAAGTCCTTGTTGTAGTTTATATCTAGATGTTCCCCAACAGTTTCATGCGACCATAGGTGGAGCTTTGAAAGGTGACTAGATTTGGGGGCTAGAAGGTGGGGTCCATCAGGTAGGAGGAGGTGGGTCACTGGAGGAGTAGCCCAGAAGGGTGTCTCTCTCTCACTCCTCCTTTATCTCTCTCTGCCCTCTGCCAGGAGGTGAGCAGCTTTCCTCTACGTGCCTCTGCCATGCTGCCCTGCCTTCAGCCAGCTGACTATGGGCTGAAACATGAGCCAAAATAAATCTTTTCTCCTTGAAGCTGTTGGTCTTGGATATTTTGTACCAGCAACAAGGTAACTAAGACAGTCCCTTATATAATATGGTGCAGTATTCGCATATAACTTAGGTACATGCTCCATATAGTTCAAATCACCTCCTGATATACCTAGTACACTGGAAATGCAATGTAAATAGCCATTATACTGCATTTTTTAGGGAATAATGACAAAAATAAAGGTCTGTACATGTTTAATACGAACTCAATTTTTTTCAAAAATTTTTGATCTGCAGTTGCTTGAACTCCCCTATGCAGGACCTGCAGATGTACTCCCAGACACTGGCTGTCTTTGGTTCCTTGAGGGCAAAGACCATGTTTCTCTTTGAACTCCTGGTGTTAGGGATTTAACTCCTCTCTGTCTTTGTCCTCCATCGGGCAAAACGGTAGCTGGATGCCTCCCAGAGCTCTGGCTGTGGCAGTGGATGGGGTTGGAGCCTAATTCAATTCCTAGTCAACAAGCATTTCACTGGCAACAGCAGCTCTTTCCTTCCAGTGCCCACCTCCCAGGCCTTCGGGCCCTCCACAGGCTCCCAAGCTTAGAAAAGCTCACCCACGGGCAGAATTACTCTGCCACCTCTGAACCCGCAAGGCCCAAGAGGCCACCCCTCACTCACCTGAACCTGGGCTGGCAGCAACCTCCTGGCCATTTCTCCCTTCGTTTCCCTTCCGGGAGAAGGCACCTGCAGTGGAGAAACAGATTTCGTCAACCTGCCTGCACTCCACCCGCACTGGAACCAACTGGGTTAGAACCTAAGCATCTGAACAGCACAGGCATGTCCTAGTCAGTGTGGCCTTGTACCTTTTCCAGCCAGTAATTATGAATAAAGATGAATGAAATGAAGGGATAACCCACGCGTACTGGCAAAATAAAGGGCATGATCACTCATGGCTCGCAGAGATGGTAATGTGAAAAGACAAATACCCCGCACATCAGCACTTCAGCTCAAGAATAGCATCGCTGGCTAGAAATGAATTTCAGATACACAGAAAAGGGGCTGAGGTGCGTCTCAGCGGCAGAACTCGGGATGCACCAGGCTCCATCCTCAGCATCCTCCCTCCCAAATAATAAAAATAGAAATTTAGAGAAAATGGAAGTAATTCTGCAAGTGAGCAAAACTCATCAAAGATCACAGTTAAATCACTCATGGATTAACTGGAGGAAAACAATGTCAAACAAGCAAGACGGACAAAAGCGAAAAACGGGAGTTTAAACGGGGGGGGGGGGGGGGTCGGGGAGGGGTAGCCCCAGGAACGGGAACTGCGGAGCGCCGCCCGGGCTCGCGGACCTCGAAACCGAGCAGTTTCCGGCAGTCTCTTTCCCGGGCCGGCCGTGAGGAGCCTGGCCTGCCGCCGAGGCGCTGGCGGACCTCGGCGGCGGCAGCTCGGCTCGGGGCTGGAGGGAGCGACCGTCCCGTTAACGCCCCCTCCGGCCGCGTCCACCTGCCGAGGCCGGGGTCGGACCGGGCGCCTGGGCTCGGCGAGGAACAGCGCGGCCGGGCCTGGGTGTCGGCCCTGCCGCAGGACAGCGCGTCCCTGGCCCCTCCCTGGCAGCCGGTACCTCAGCCCGCCCGGGCAGGGACTGCAAGCTGCGCACCGTGCAGAAGTCGAGCTCAACACCTAGCGCAGGGACATTTCTCGCGGCCGCCGCCGCCGCCGTCGTCGCTCACCCGCTGGGCGCAAGTGCGCGTGCGCAACAGAGAGTCGTAGCGTTCCCTGCCTGGACCGCCGCGCTTGTCCTTTTTGGCCTACATTTCCCAAAGGCCACCGCGAGACACCTGGTACGGTGTCTGAGAAGTGAAGGAGGGCTGAATGCTAGGGAAAGCACTCTGGCTGGTGTTCGTGAGAAGGCTGGAGGCGTATCTTTCGGTTCCGAACATCTGCCCCTCCTTACTGCACTCATTTTGTTCGAAATTGTAGTGACAATGATATTAAGGAAGGACAAGTGTATGTATTTAAAAATGTGGACGACTAGCCATCCATTGCAGTTTCCTGTCAGGTTGTAAGAGGATTGTTAGAATCTACAATTTGTCTAAATTTTGTAACCTACAAAAGATGTGCGTGTGTGTGTGTGTGTGTGTGTGTGTGTGTGTGTGTGTGTGTGTGTGTGTGTGTTGTTTGGTTATTTGCAGTGTGGGGATGGACCCAGGGCCTCCTCATGATGAGCAAGGGCTCTGCCACTGAGCCCAGAAGATAAATATTTTAACTGAGACTCACACTGAGTCACAACAAAAGCTTAAACTCAGTATTTCCCTTTTCATAACACTCATTACTTCTTTTAAAGGGCTCCTTTAATCTTAAGATAAAGGCAGCCCTCCAAGATTGTTATCCTCCTACTCACAACTGCATCCTCAAGGACCAGCACTGCATGCACCAAAAAATATAGGTCTGCGTTGATGGGGCCAGATGCTGGGGATTGATCCCAGGGCCTTGTGCATGCAGAGCTACACCTCCAGCCCCTGTATTGATTTTTAAAATATCAAACATTATAGTTTACAAATACAGACATAAAGCCAAAGGATTCCTGAAGGTGCAAAACAAAGAGATGATCTAGGATATGCTAAGTAAATAATCTGAAAAAAGTCTGGGATCACAATGTTACAATAAAAAAACAAAGGTCATTTCAAAGTAAAAATAAATTGGACAAAATAAGCTGTTTCTGCCTCAAAATGATATTGTGAAGGTTATTTAATAACAGCATCAAAAACCGAGACGATTACAAGAGTGGCAGTGAAAGAATAAAGGTATAATGCCCTGGGGATGTAGTTCATAGAGCACTTGTTTAGCGTGGGCAAGGCCCTAGATTTACTCCTCGCTCCTCAGCACTGAACACACACACACACACACAGGTTATGATAGTATAATAAGGTTACTGTCTTATTCATGGGGATGGCATAAATACTAATTAACTTTATATGTACATTTTTATGCTTAAATATGTATGTTAAATACCTATCAGAAAACACTAAGCAATTAGAAATACATGACTTTGTAACTTGCCTCAAAGTAATTTTAAACTAATGCAACATTCTTACTGATAGTAAAAGACTGATATACATACATTCAAAGTTATGCACACATTACAGGATAAAGCAAATAAAAATTACATTAATGTCATCAATAACCAAGATTTTCAGACTAACCAAAAAGAAATACAAATAAAAATTTTAAAGAAGTTAAGTGAAAGGGCTATTAACTTATGTTTAAATTGGAAATATCAATAAGCAAGTTTTGGTTCTTTCTTTAGAAAAATAAAATCAACCTTTCCCTGTCTCCATCCACAGTAAAGGCCTAAAAGGAATGATAATTCAATAGCAATTAGCGAAAAAAATGTTTAACACACAAAAGGCTCATCTCTAAGATGAATTATAAGTGGCACTGGTGCCTGAAAGCTGGAAAGCTAGCCAAGGGTCAGGTCAAAAGAAGGAGCCAGCCTGAAAGATTTCTACTGATAAAGACGGAAGAATTTCATTGTTAACTGCAAAGGACTGAAATTCATCAAACACTCTAAGAATCTATCTTCTACTCTTGCCAAAATAGAGTAAAAGGAAGCGGAATTACCCTCCCACTCTACTTCTTGTTCTGTTTGTGATGCTAGGAGTTGAACCCAGGGCCTCATGCTAGGCAACTGATCTGCTATTGAGCTATATCCTCATCCCCTACCCTCCCACTTCAACATGCAACACCAACACCATCCAAAGATAAAACATACACCATGAGGTGACAAAGGACTTTGGTTCCTGAGGAGCAAAAATCAAATCAAGTGAGTCCTACAGTTGTCTACCTTATTGCTTTGACAGAATCCAGGTTAAGGCACAGAAGAAGTGTTAGCAAAATCCAACAGACAATCTTGAGAAAAATCTCTCACTATACTAGTAATATAAAAGAGCTTCCTTCTCTACAAAATCCTACAGCTAAAACCACACTGAATGGTAAAAGAATGCTTTCCCCCTAAGATCAGGAGCAAGGCATGTACATCTGCTCCCACTACTTACATTATCATTCTAATGGTGTGCGTACCCATTGGGATAAGGTGAGAAAAAGCATCTGAACCAACAAGGAAAAAAGTAAAACTACCTTAACTCAAAACTAACACAATCTCTAGGTAGAAAAAGCTGATGGAATTATTATAGACAGCTAACCTAGAGAGAAATTAATATACAGAGGCCTGATGAGACACGATAACTAAATATGATGAGGAATCCTGGAATGGAAAAGGGAGCAATGAAAGGCATCAATGAAATAAACATGCATATGGAATTTAGCTAATAACAATTTATCAAGATTGGCTCATTAATTGTGTTATAAGGTACCAGAATACACCATTGTGTTAGTCAGCTTTCTGGAACTATAACAAATACCCAAGAGAATCAACTTATAAAGAGAAAAGGTTTATTTTGGCTCATGGTTTTAGAGGTTTCAATCCACAATCGGTTCACCCCACTGCCTTGGGCAGCACATCCTGGCTGGGGCATGTGGTGAAGCAAAATTGTTCAAGTCATGACCAAGAAGTTCCAGACAGGAACAGGAAGGGGCTGGATCCAGTGTCTCCTTCAAGGACATGCTCCCATTGACCTGAAGACTTCCTGCCAGGCCCCATCTGCTTGAGGCCCCCCCACCTCTTGACAGCACCCAGAGGGAGACCAGGCCTCTGATACAAGGGTCTTTAGGAGGCATTCAAGAGCCAAACCGTTGCAGCCACACAAAAATATGACACTTTAGCATAAGGATTGTTTTGAAGCAAAAGAGAATCAATGGGTGCAGAAACTTTTGAGAAATGAAAACTGCCATAAATCGCCACCCCTGGGAAGTTTTATAGCCATGAAGAAGATGGGAAGCAGTGCTGAGATAGACTTGCACAAACAAATCTGGTTTCCCTGTAATATTTACCTTCTTACAGTTTGCTTTCACTGGCTATCTAAAGCCCCTTGTCTTTGGTGTTTTATTTTCTAAAAATGTACTGTTCTTTTGTTAAGATGCTCTATGAGAGCCATGCATGCCTGTAATCACAGTTCTGTGAGAGGCAGGAGGGTTGCAAACCCCAGCCCACCCCAGAGCTCAGTGAAGACCCTCAGTTTAATCCCCCGGTGCTGGGGGAAAGGAAAGAGGCTATATCAGACACCATTGAGCTGACCCAGCACTGAAATCTCTCCCGTGCATGTGCAATGGAACTGTTGATAAACTCTTACTGTCTTTTGTTAATCTGATTTGCAAGGTTCTAGCAGGAAGACTTGGCGGTGGGAGGGAGTTAACCCTCTCCATAGTGTGAAATGCACCATATTAATGTAAGCTATTTATCATATGAATCTGGCTTTCATGGTAATTTTACTGTTTTTGCAACTTTTCCATAAATCCAACACTATTCTCAAATTTAAAAGTTGATATTAAAAATGAGATCTAGGACAACATTGGAATTATTCTAATATTAAGCAAGTAAGTATTATATGTGTTTAAATATTTTCATAGTGTAATTCACATTTCTTTGATTTGTAAAACATTTACTTACATTTTGTTTTCATTGATATTGTTGCCCATTAAAAAAAAAAATTTTCCCTTTCATAAGGCCTTGATGTTTTTCTTTAATTTTTAAATCATTTTATTGCAAATATTTTAGAGGTCTTTCAATTTTTCTCATAATAACTTATGACATTCTACATTGAAACATATAAGAGCCGGG